GTGGCGTGGGGAGAGGCAAGCTGATGCGCTGTGGCAACTCAACTCCAAGGTAGTCATGTCGATAGAATGAGGCCTCCTTTCAGCAGATCATACTCAACCGTTTTGCCAATTTAAACATAAGCGATGTCAAATTTTACTTTTGAATTTATTTTGAAAAAATGCTAAGCAAATAAACAGAGTAAACAATACATGAGAAAGCACTTGACCTCAAGCAAAAAACTACTTACAGACTTTTGTAACTTAGCAGCTAAGATGTATTGCTTTTATTCATACACATAACTGAATACAAAATATGAGGTTTTCTACTGACTATACGTAGAAAAAAAAATTCCTTAAAATACCATTAAAGTAAAGTACAGTTTTTACATTTTGTAAACCATTTAGCTAAATGTAATGTGGTATCCTAGATTAGATCAGAAAAAGGATATTACCCAGAAGTGGGATTGCTGGATCAAACGGTAGTTCTACTTTCAGTTCTTTAGGGAATCTCCAGACTGTTTTCCATAGTTGTTGTACTAATGTACATTCCCACCAGCAGTGTAGAAGTGTTCCCTGTTCACCATATCCATGTCGACATCTATTATTTTTTTGGTTGTGGCCATTCTTGGAATAGTAAGGTGATATCGCATTGTGGTTTTGATTTGCATTTCCCTGATCATTAGTGATGTTGAGCATTTTTCATGTTTGTTGGCCATTTGTATATCGTCTTTTGAGAATTGTCTATTGCTGTCCTTAGCCCACTTTTTGATAGGATTGTTTGTTTTTTTCTTGCTAATTTGTTTAAGTTTGTTGTAGATTCTGGATATTAGTTGTTTGTCAGATATATCGATTGTGTAGATTTTCTCCCACTCTGTGGGTTGTCTGTTTACTCTGCTGACTGTTCCCTTTGCCATACAGAAGCTCACTACTGGGTATCTACCCAGAGGAAAAGGAAGTCCTTATATAAAAAGGATACTTGCATACGCATGTTTATAGCAGCACAATTTGCAATTGCAAAAACGTGGAACAAACCTAAATGCCCATCAATCAACGAGTGGGTAAGGAAACTGTGACATATATATGGACCTCCACCGTCTACCTAATATATATATTATATAATGTATACACATATATATGATGGAATATACTCAGCCATGAAAGGTATGAATTAATGGCATTCACATTGACCTGGATGACACTGAAGATTATCATCCTAAGTGAAGTAACTCAGGAATGGAACATCAAACATTTGATGTTCTCGCTCATCAGTGAGAGCTAAGCTATGAGGATGCGAAGGCATACCAATGACACAATGGACGCTGGGGACGCAGGGGGTAAGGGTGGAAAGGAGGTGAGGGGTAAAAGACTACATATTGGGTGCAATGTGTACTGCTTAGGTGATGAGTGCACCAAAATGCCTTAAATCACCACTAAAGAACTTACTCATGTAACCAAACACCACCTGTTCCCCAATTACTGATGGAAAATTTTTTAAATGCTTTTTTTTAAAAAGAAAAAAAAAGGACATTAGTAGAGAAACTGGTGAAATACTAATAAGTCTGCTGTTTACTTAACAGCATTGTAGCAATGTTAATTTCTTAGTTTTGACAAATGTGCATGGTTCTCTAAGATGTTAACATAAGGGAGAAGCTGGTAAAACAGATAGGAATTCTCTCTACTATCTGCAGCTTTTTTGTAGATCTAAAATTATTCAAAAATTAAACTTCGATAAAGAAAGCAAAATAACACATGGGCACACTTTGCTAGGTGAAAACTCCATGGGGTTGAACAAGGACTGTGGTATTTACTACAGTCTCCTGAAGCTCAGCACTGGGTCTGGCAGGGGTAATTAATAGTTACTGAATGAATAAAAGAATGCATAAGCGAATGAACCATGTACACAGTGCAACTAATTCTAAGAATTCTTATTATTCACCCAAATAAACCCTCCTGGGTTCCTCTTTATTCCCTGCAGTCAGTAGCCAGATTAATATCAAAAACAAAAAACAAACCAAAAAAAAAAAAAAAAGCTAACATCAAGGAGTCCTCCACCCCACTAGCTTTGATGGACCTCTGTCATCTACCTAATAAAATTTTAGTCCTATGCTGACATTCAGAAGCATCCAAAATCTGGCTCCAATTTGCTTTCCTAACTTTATGTCTAATGTTACAAACTCTATGATCTACTGTACCACTTATACTTTCTCCAAACATGCTTCATGCTTTTAAAATATTTGTTTTATATCTGTGGCTTTGCTGATGTCCTTCTGTCAGAAACATTTTCCCCCGAAAGTCTCTACCTATTCAAATCCTAACTGTCATTCAAGGCACAACTCAAGGGTGACCTCCTCCATGAAGCCTTTCTCTGTTTGATTAGGCACAATCTTTCTCTCTTTATAACTAACAGCAGTTGTTATTATGCCATTTGTGGCCACCTTGGAAATGTGCCATTTGGGTCTCCTACTGGAGAAAACACAGTTGATTGACAGCCCTGAATGCTACTCTCTGGATCCACTACCTGTTCCTGACAAGGTTGCCCTTCCCATGGCTATTCCCAGATAGTGACTAAGCAAGCTGGGGGTATTAATGCTGGCCTGTTCCTACAAGAGCTGGGACTCCTCTAAGGAGCAACTTTGGGTGGAGGACTCCCGTTTGGCCTGGGTGAAACTTTCTTGGAACTTCACTGCATCTGAAAGGCTTCCTACCCCATCCTCTTTCCTTTTCTTTCTCCTTTCACAGGTGTTTGACTTGCATCAAGATAAGAAGACTTTCCCTTTCTATTTCTGCTTCTCCCCACTTTATCTTTCATGCTGTTTTCTCCAATGAATCTCTTACATGTCAAATCCTATCTTGGTGCCGTTTTAGAAAATCCTAACTGATAAATTGTTTCTATAGCATTTACCATGTTCTATCATGGATTATAAGTCATGGTATAAATGGCTTATGCCACCTGTTAAGCTGTAAATTCCTGGGCATAAAGACTGGACACTTGTTAGTTAAATATCTAGTACAGTGTTTTCCACATACTCAGTATCCAAAGCTGTTTGTTAAATAAATAATGATTATAATGTATTGATATACTTATGTAAAGTTTGAAAAAAAAAGTGTCTTTACATGCTTTATCTTAGTTGAACATCCGAATAATCCTAGAAAATAGACTGGCCAAGCCAACAAGAGAAGTTGACTTTATATGAAGGTGAGATTCACTGAGCTTATCTGAAAGTTGTTGGAGTCCAGATTTATGTTCTGTTTGTGCTTAAAGCATTCAGCATTCTCCCAGGGTCATAATAACAAGACCTAAACCCAACACCTTACTGTGTGAGTGGCCAACACTCTAACTAACTTTACATGGATTAGCCCTGTAACCTGCACAAAATCCTTGTAAATAGATGGAATTATTTTCTCATTTAACAAAAACGCAAATGCCCAAAGTCATGTAATCCAGAGGTGGTATAGCCAGGATTTAAGCACCTGTGCTTTTAATCTTTAGGCTACCTTAGAGCAAGTAGCTACTTGTGATTTGTGGAATGAATAACACAGGTCAGTAGCTAGGGGAAGCAAGATTTGAACTCAAGTCTTCTACAACCTCCTTGTCAATCAGGGAATCCTTTATTCTGTATCCCTGAGGTGTTGGCATTCAATCCTAGCTTGAAGGAAAATGCAATTATTTCATCAGTTTTGCCCAATGGAACTTTCTACAATGATGAGAACATCTTACATCTGCATCCTCCTATATTTTAGCTACAAGCCCTATGGGGACATTGAGCATTTGAAATATACCTAATGCAACTAAAGAAATGAAGTTCTATTTTTATTTTTATTTAAATAGTCCCATGGGATTATTAGCTACCATATTGCTCAGCGTAATTCTAGTCTCTTCCCTGATCATTTCATCTAAACGTGGTTTCATTTCTCTGGCAGTTAGCTGAGTTTTATTTCAAATTTTAAGCTGATGAATTCACTGTGCAGTTCACTGAAAATGAGCTAAAGTATCCTTTCAACTCATGACATGCAAATGTAATATGCCCAACTCAGTCACCAACCCAAGGATCATAGCATTTGGAGGAAAAAATTTCTAATCTATGATCCAAATCTAAGAAGTATTTCTTCTGGCCTGCTGGGAAAAGCAGCAAAGGAGAAAGGACTTACAGAGTACCTGTATAAACTGGTTATGAGTAACACATAAACAAAGAACAACAAAGTGTGGAAGGCCACAGGAGGCCTCTGAGGAGGAAGGCCTCTCCATGCCTCATGTTCCAGTGCAGGGTGACCTAGGCTCTGTTACCACAAACATTGTGCTCAAGGACGTAAAACCCCTTCATAGCACTATGAGGTAGCCAGACTTGTAGACTCCTTGGAAGGTCTGCATTCCATCAGCTGTACATAGATAATAAGCTAAAGATAACCACATGTTCCTGTGAAACTCCCAAACTGCCACTATTATCAATCCTTAAGAAAACACACCACTTCCGGCTCACAATTCACTTACGACTCACTGATTCACTCCACCGTCACTCTACCCCTACCCTATAGATCAAAGTGATTGTAATCAATAAATAGTGTGACTCATCAGAGCTTGGGGCCTTCACTGTCTCTTCTAGTAATGAGTGATGGCCCCCAGTCCCACTTTCTCTCTTACTCTGTCTTTTTTTCATTCCTTTGTCATCACCAAACTCAGGGTACCCACAGGTAATGTAGGGCTGGTTCCCTACACTGGCCTAAGGATGACTTTAGGCTTCTCTTGAGGGCTAACCTTTCTCAACTGGCTTCATCTTCCATGGCTGGACACTCTGAAAGAAGTAAGAGACAGGAGGACCAGAGGAAAATGCAGACATTTTTCTTTGAGATACAAAATTTTAATTCCAAGGGATGATAGCTACTGGAGATTTGGGAATTCAGTTAGACTCCACGAAACTCTTCACATCAAACACACAAACAAAACAAAGAATTCTTTTTAAAAAAAGAAGAAGAAAGAGCAAGAATATTTTTCCCATGTAAAGAAAAAAATTTTTCATCTTTACCTGTTCAGCACAATTTTTGTTTTTTGCTCCCTGCATTGCCAGCTCTGGATTTACATAACCATTTTTAACTTTCTCGATAGAACCATATTCGTACATTCCATCTGATGACAATAGAAGGTCCTCAGGGGTTGGCTGTGGGGGAATGTCCTTTGCAACATCTATAAGTGGGACTTCAGAGATACTGCACAGATGAACAATAAAACACAAAGTGAGCATCAACGCAGAGAAGAAGAACATGACCTGGAATTCTGTACCCAGCAGTCTTCCCAGTTCCAGATGGGCCCAGTCTATAGCACCCAAAAGGTAACCCATGGCACCTCCAAAACCTGGAAAGCAAGAAAAGCTGCATTAGCATATTTAGCAAATCATCTTTCATTTACTTCATGCATAGACACTCCCTTCAGTGAGAAAACTCCCTGAAGACAGCAGAGTCAGCCTGGATATGACTGGAAAAGCAATACAGCAAGAGGCTGAGAAACATGCAGCCAGGAAATGTGGGTTCAAGCTTTGGCTCTAGAATTTACTTGCTTTGACTTTCGGCTTCCTCATCCAGAACATGGAGGTAATAGTAAAAGAGTAACCTACTAGTAAGGTCATTTAAGGTCATTTATATTCAAGAAATGCAAATGTCCAAAGTCACGTAATCCAGAGGTGGATTTTTGAAAATAGTAAGTGTTCAGGCTGGGGGCCAGACACATAGCAAGGGCTTACTTAAGTATTGCTACCATCAGAGATACTATGATCTTTCCAAAGTGCATTCTCTAGACTGCTTTTGAACTTAAATTTCCGACCAGAAAAAGCCCCAAAGAAAACCAATTCCTGGCACCAATAAAATTAAATTATTTATAGTTTCTCTATTATTAAGCTTCCTGGGATGATGTTAGCTTGCAGAGATCAAACAACCTTAAAAGCTGTCTTTCTTCCTCTATTAAAAGCTCAAGGTACTTGTTCCCAGTTGATAGCTGGGAACAGGAAATAATGAGAACAAGAGTTTAAATATGAATTTTTGAAAATCCTATTCTCATTTCACAGGACTCCAACCTGAGGTCTTTTTTGGTGCTTGTTTTATCTGCTCAGGCTTAAACATAGTGTCACTTGAGGGACACTGAGAAAAGGCGCCTCAAAAATCTATTCAACCCTAATCATCTGATATTTAAAATCCCATAGTAGTTATTCCTTTTTTGAGCTTCTGTTTTAAAATACAAGTGTTTCTGGCATGGGCAAGAAATTGCTCAGCACCAAAACAGTAACTGCTCCTTAGATGTTCCTTCTGGTGCAGACATCAGTGACTTCTGATAAAGGTGGGGAGATCATGGTTGGGAGGGGCCAGTGGACATATTATAGGATGTCTAGAGAATTAAGGAGTTGAGTGCCAGACACATCCTCTACATATGTCACAAACTTATGGAGGGCTGATCCTACTTTCAAAATTCTTTAAAGCTCAAATTCCAATCATGCATACCAATCACAATTTATCTACCTGAACAGATCAGCTTTCATTTTTTGTTTTTGATTTTTTTGTGTGTGTATGAGTGAAGTCTCCATTTTATTTCTCAGATAAGAGCAATATCTTCACAAGCTAGGAAATCAAGGAAGAAAATAGAACTTAAGGAGTTCCTCTCTAACCCTAAACAGCTTAAGCTACATCAAGAACCTGACCTCAAGAACACAAACCTGAATACAAAGTACCATGAATCCTAATTTGCATTATTAATGCAAATAATTCATGCCAAATTCGTGAGAGAGTAGACAATTTGGGTCACTTCATATTCTGGTTAGTTGCAATTTAACATAGACACTATTTCAGGAGGACCAACAATCTAAACATTGGATCCCAAAAATAAAGCATCATTAGCATGTCCTGAAAGCTGAAGTGTTTTAAGGCAGAATTATAAGAAATTTGGCCAATGGGGGTATGGTGAAGTAAGATATATAGTCTCTGGAAGCAAGAAATTTATGGTATAGTTATATGTGATAAGCATAAATATAAACAGATAAATAACACGACGGTGAAGAGCCCAGGAATTGAGAGAAAGAGAAGGTCCTGAAAAAGCCGCCCTCTGTTCAGGGATTTGTGGTGCCTCTGGTTATTATTAGACCATGACAATTCAATTGTGGACGTGCAGAAGGTATCAGAAGCCATGTACCCAGCCAAGCAATCAACCAATAAGAATGTATTAAGTCTTCTCCCCAACCTGTTATGACAACCAAAAATGTCTCTAGATATTGCCAAATATCTCTGAGGAGGTTGAAAAGTGGCCCCTAGTTTGGAATCCCTGACCTAGGTCAACCCTATACAGACACATTCATTTTTTGAAACTATCATTTCTAAACAGATCGATGGTTTTCATATTGCCATTTAATTCCCTTATCACTTACACCTCTTTCAAATTTTTGTTCAGCTGAGCATTATTGATTGCCTCAGTTGGAAGGATATAAAGAAGAAGACCCGTGCCTATTTGAAAAAAATGATATGTGAAACAAATCCTCCACTGTGCAATGGAATGGTAGTTTTAGTTTATAGAAAAAATGTAAGAATATACGTAGAATGATGAATTTATATTAGAGATTAATTTGGACAACTGAGTCCTACAATTGGGGAGTTTCCTGATGCAGTTGCCATGTCTACTGGTTTAATTTAGTTCAATAAACATATATCAAGCACTAAATATATGTAAATGACTCTACTAGCTTCTGGGGATGTAAACATAAATAAGATACAGTTTCCCATTCTTTTCTCCAGAAAGTGGTCTCAAGTGGGAGAAGCAGATAATGGGAGAAGCTACTTTTTAAAACGGTAATAAATGATAAGCTGGAACCGTGAGCTGGATACTCAGAGTACAGAGTTTTGAAAAGTCAATTATTGGTGCTAGTAATGGTATGAAGGTGATGTCAATTATTAGTAAATCTGACAGGATTTCTCTTCATTATCAATGAGGGTTAGAAGAGTTCAATATATCAGTGAATTCAAAAATGTTAGAGGTAAAAGGAGATTTGAAGAATTAAGTTCAGAAAACTATGAACTTTATTGGCTCTGTGATGGAAGGTCACACAGAAGGAAGAATGGATTTGGAATCGTGCCAGATTTCCATTCCCACCTTTGTGCTTTCTAGTCGCGTGCTCTTGGGCACTTCTCTGAGAAACGAGGGTGGTGCTGCCTCCTCATCTGAATTTAGTGAGGATTAATGCAAATAATTCATGTCAAGCCCCAGCACATACCATGGCAGAACCAGGCCCAAAACCAAGCTTCCTGATGACTTCCTGCAGTAACCCTAATTCCAAGACCTCCCCTAGAAGCAGGAGAAGAGAGCTACTGCACTAAACTGGCTGAAGGCAGCCTGCCTGGAACTTGCTGAAAGGATTTAGCCATTTTAGGCTCAGTGATTAGAACTGGTGGATCATTCCGAGGGCTGAGACCTGGGCTTACCCCTGATCCTACTCTGGCATGTGGCAAGTATCGTGAAAGTAAAATATATCTGAAACTTGGAAAGTGTAAAAATAGCAACTGCTTGATTTTTAAAATTCCCTCTAGAGCAACCTTCTTAAACTTGAATGTGCACACAAATCATGTGGGCATCTTATTAAATGCAGGTTCTGATTGTGAGGGTCTAAGGTAGAGCCTAAGCCTGGAATTCTGCATTTCTTTCAAGCTCTCCAGTGACACCAATGCTGCTGGGTCAAGCGTCACTCTTTGAGTGGCCAGGTGACAGCAATTTCCAACCAATTTCTATTCTTGAGAAATGGTATTTTGTTGTCACAGGATATTTGACTCACAATCCATAACTGATAAAGCACAATGATTTGCAGTCCTATAAAATTAAGGTAGTTTGCAGATATGAATAGAATTTTCATAGCCTGGTAGAGAAACACTCCGCAAGTATAACAAAGGAGTTATACTTTGATGGCCTTGCGGAAGGTTAACCAGGTTTATATTTAGTCTGGCATTTTTTATTTTTCCAGTCATGCGCACACACATTTTCTGCAAGAACTTGGCGAAAACTCTTCTTATGTTTTCCCCATTGGTTCCTTTATTAATGTGTTAACTTAAAATCTTGACATATGCTAAAACTTAGAGAATTATTAGCACTCTCTTATCTTAGGAAAGAGGGGAGAAAAAAAAACAGGAAAAACTGTCTTTTTTTGTACTTTAGGTTCTGGGGTACATGTGCGGATCATGGATTGTTGCATAGGTTCGTACATGGCAATGTGGTTTGCTGCGTCCATCCCCCATCACCTATATATGGCATTTCTCCCCATGTTATCCCTCCCCAACCTCCGCACCCCCTGCAATTTGTCCCAAAGCTACTGTTTTGAAGTACGTGTAGCTGCAAATTACAATAGTACAACAGGACATACCAGGAAAGCAAAGTGGGCCACTGGGGGAATTCTCCTAACAGAGTCTTAAAATACTGGAAGGAAATATTTAAACTCTGTCTATTTGCAGCCTCAGATAGGATGAGGGCCAGTAGAGAGCTGTAGGAAATCATTAAGTTTTTCTTTTGCTTCTTCCGATTAAGCCAAGAGTTTTGTCTTCAAAGACAATCTCCCCAACAAAGCCTAGCTGTCTGAGCAGTGATAAATGCTGACAGTTTTACCATTTTGCCACCTCCCACACTACAACCAGACTATATTTACCTCTGCTGCCAAAATCAGCCTCTTTGGGGCCCCTAGAATCAATCACCAGGCTGTTGGGCAAGCATAAGCCAGGGCCATTTGGAGGACACCTGCTACCATGTTAGATAACAAGTTTTACAAAGAAGGGCCCAGAAGTGGTCCAGCTGGCTCCTTCCTCACCAAGCCAGGCTGTGTTGTCAAACTCAGGAGAATAAATGGCTTTAGAAGACAGATGTCATATTTCATAACTAATGATGCAACTTGAACAATGGCTCATCCTAGAAGTCCAAATACATAGAAATATTTTTAAAAATTTTCTTTAGTCAACTATAATAGGTAAAATGGGAAACTGTGACTATTAAGGAATCTAAAGGAAGAAAGGAAACTCAAGACAGTACATCTAAATCGAACTCTGCACCTACCATATGCCCGTAATTGCCTGCAGGCCTCAGGTATATGGCTTAGCAAGCTTAGCACCAGGGCTGACACAGCTCAAGTCATGAGAGCTAGCTGTGTGCTGTTTGCTACTTTACCTTCAGAGAAGGACAGACTAAAGACCTCCCATCTTCCCATGGGGTTCATAAAAAAATCAATCTGATTCTTTTCTATATGTTGGAAAAAAAATAGCCGTGAAAGTGTCAGATTAGGTACATGCTTCCACCTATTCCCACCAGGTGCATACTAAATCCTGGACAGTTAACGTAAGTACCAG